CATTCTGGACTGTGTGCACATAGGGCAACCAAAGCTTATTGTAGCCCATTGTAAGCTCATGATTCAAGGGGATCTTTAAAAAAAATAGAGGCGTGGTACCACCACATCCTCAGACCTCAGTATTCTAATTCAGGGATGGAAGGGACCACCACTCCATCCCAACCTGCTGACACCTGTCATCTCACTGTTCCTGTCACATCAGATTCAGAGTATCGATTAATCTAAAAAACTAAGAGATAAAAGGTTATTTTCAATATGGTCTAAGATCTTGAACTCTAGAATAGGGGTAAAATCATGAAAGCTGAATAGCATGTAGTGTCCATAGGCTTGGTGCAGGTTTGCACAGAATTTGACATTTTAAAGTTGCAGTAATAAATGAGTTGGGTCAAATTATGTCCGTTTTGGGTCAAGCGATTTGGTGCAGTGAAAAGAACTGTAAAGGCAGACAGACCTGGATTCAAAACTCAGTGCCCCCACCCGCCAGCTTTGTGACCTCGGACGAGTTACTGACCGTCCTGAATCTTAGTTTGCTCATCTGTAAACTAGGGTTGATGGCCCGTTTCTCCGCTGTCACCACGACTGAGTAAGCTAATGCAAGTAGCTTCTACCTCTGCGCTTGGCACGTGGTAGATGGTGGTGGTGTGATCGTCAGTTAGGCACTTACAAATAGTGGTCGTGTGGCAGTACCATGCTAGGCCTGGAGTTACAACCGAGCAAGACACAGTCTCTCTCTTCAGGGAGTTTTCAGTCTAATGAGATTACTCAAGGAGCTGTTCTAGATAAAATAGTTGACGGAGAAATGGGCTGACTCTTGGCTGCGTCCCTCACACTCAAACACCAAGTGTCCTTGCAGTCTGGGTGTTGTCCCGAATTCCCCTTCCAAGAAGGGAGACTATTGTTTGCTGATTGCTTACTGTGTGGCGGGTACTGGAATAGGTATCTTACGGTCCCATTTCCCCCTGTAATAACCCTCTGAAATCAGCATTCTTATTCACATTTACAAATGACCAAGATCACTTAACTAAGTGACTGACCCAAATTCAAACCCACGTTGGTCGGCCTTCAAATTTCCTGTCACCTACTCTGCCACACTCATAGCAATGGGACAATCTGTGGCTGTCACATGAAGAACACTTTTTGTTGTTGTTGTTAATCCTTACCTGGGGATATTTTTTCCATTGATTTTTAGAGAGAGTGTAAGGGAGGGAGAGGAGGAGAGAGAGAGAGAGAAACATCGATGTGAGAGACACATCACCTGGTCGTCTCTCGCACATGCTCAGACTGAGGCTGGGGATCAAAACTGCAATGCAGATCCATGCCCTTGACTGGGAATCAAACCCAAGACCCTTCAGTGCACCAGCCAGGGCGAAAAACACTTTTTTCTAAAAATATGTTTTTTATTGATTTTAGAGAAAGAGGAAGGAAGAGGGAGAGAGAAACATCAATCTGCTGTCTCCGGCACACCCCCCCTTCTGGGGATCGCGCCCCCAACCCCAGCATGTGCCCTGACCGGGAAGGGAACCAGCAAGCCTCAGTGCATGGAGCGACACTTCAGCCAACTGAGCCACACTGGCCAGGGCTGCAAACACTCTAAATGAAGTCTTCCTCCCACAATGCTGGCTTGTGGCAATTTCTCAAAGGAGTGCCCTGAGGCGGGGGAGGAGGAGAGGTCAGCCAGAGTGCAGCTTGTGGCAGGAACAACTGCTCAAAAACAAACTGTTCTTGTGGGTTAGCAACCACCGTTCAGGAAATCTGGATCGGTCAAGATTCGTGTGGAGGAAACTAGGGGCTGAGGTCGTGAGCAAGAAGAGGTGGGGGTGGCTCCAAGGGACAAGGACAGGCGTGGCCTGCGGCTGGGGCGGAACATTTGCGTCGTCGGGGTCTCTGGCCACCAGCATCTGGGTCTTAATCCAGAATCAAAGCTTCAGAAGCAAAGGTCTTTGCCTGCGCTTCTGCCCACAGTCCCATGACAGAATGTGTCCGGAAAGATCGGTTCCTTATTTAGGATTGCGCAATAGCACCGCCCGTGTGCAGTTTGCTGTCATGATGCTTCATGAAGAAGTCCTGACCTTGAGGCTGGAAAGCGTGGGCCACCATAACTCGTCCCAGCCTGTTCCCTTCGTGTGGCTGGGGCTGCACAATGCGGGCAAGCTTGCAGGGAGTAAAAGCACCGCTACAGTATTAAGCACGATGCTAATGTTACTGAGACAGTGACTTGGGCTAAGGTTTCTGGGGCAGGGAGATCGTGAACTGCCTGCTGGATTTCATGGGAAGAGGACAAAGCGAGAGAGTCGGGCAGATGCAGAAAGAGGAAGAAACAGATACGGGGGAGCCCCTGACAGAGTGTATAGATTCCTGTTGGGAAGGACCTGACGGTAGCTCGTTTCTCTCTTGCTGTCTTGATAGAACAGAATTGAGAAGATTAAGTGAGAACTGCTTTGTTTCGAGGCCTGTTGCAGCAGGAGGGTGTGAAACAGATCAGGGGCGTTCTGTGCTTGAGTGCAGCAGCATCACAGACATGCAGAGCTGTCTGATTTCCAGCCAGAGCTAGTTTTAGTCAGGGCACGCCTTTGTAGTCTTTTTTTTTCCCCCCTAAATCCTCACCCAAGGGTATTTTTCCATTGAGTTTTTTAGATAGAGTGTGAGGGAAGGAGGGAGGGAGGGGGGAGAGAGAGAGAGAGAGAGAGAAAGGATCTATGTGAGAGAGACACATGGATTGGCTGCCCCCTGCACAACCCCGGCTGGGGCCAGGGATCAAACCTGCAACCAAGGTACATGCCCTTGACTGGGAATCGAACCCTCAACTCTTCGGTCCTCGGGCTGACACTCCAACTGCTGAGCCAAACCAGTCAGGGCACACCTTTGGGGTCTTTATTGTGTCTGATTTCCTATTCTCTCTAAAGCATTCCTGATCTATAAATGAAGAACTACTGTGTTTAAATTACTTTAAATTGTACTTAATTTGAATCAAATCCACCTTACATAAAAGAAGTGTGACTTGCCCTGGCCGGCGTGGCTCAGTGGTTGAGCAACGTCCTATGCAGTGAAAGATCACCAGTTCAATCCCCAGTCAGGGCACATGCCCAGGCTGTGGGTTCAATCCCCAGTCAGGGCACATGCCCAGGCTGTGGGTTCAGTCCCCAGTCAGGGCACATGCCCAGGCTGTGGGTTCAATCCCCAGTCAGGGCACATGCCCAGGCTGTGGGTTCAGTCCCCAGTCAGGGCACATGCCCAGGCTGTGGGTTCAGTCCCCAGTCAGGGCACATGCCCAGGCTGTGGGTTCAGTCCCCAGTCAGGGCACATGCCCAGGCTGTGGGTTCAGTCCCCAGTCAGGGCACATGCCCAGGCTGTGGGTTCAGTCCCCAGTCAGGGCACATGCCCAGGCTATGGGTTCAATCCCCAGTCATGCTTACAGGAGGCAGTCGATCAATGTTTCTTTACCACATCGATGTTTCTCTCGCTCTCTCCCTCTCCATCCCTCTCTCTGAAATCAATAAAAATATATTTGAAAAGAAGAAGTGTGACTCTGTGTAGGTCTTAAATTAGTGTTTTAGTTGTGGCCTTTGGTTACCAGGACTTTCAACCATGTGGCACCTTATGCCCCTGATTAGATATTAGGGTCACACAAGCAAATTTTATTTTTGTTTTTATCTTTTAAATATATTTCTTTGAAGTCTATTGTACTATTGTTTAGTTCCCAAATAAGACTTTTATTTTTCACATTGAAGAGTTAAATATATAATAACTGGTCAAACTTGTTTGATTTTCCAAATCCATTATTTATAGAAGTTTGGGTTTTGTATAGATGAAATTCTGGTTAGTTATTTGCTAAACAAATGTAAAATTTCCACTTGGTGCATTTTTTTCTAAAGGGGTCAGATCCCTGGATGATTTTCTTATGCAAATCAGCATGTTTTTCTGAATTGCTCCTTTTGTTATCCTGTAGACTCTAATCAGGGAAATGAGACTCATGTTATAATAGTATAAGTAAAACATAAAAAAGGAATGCAGACTTCCTTAATTAAAATAAAAAAAACCGCCCTGGCCAGTTTGGCTCAGTGGTTAGAGCGTTGGCCCACGGAACAATGAGTCGTGGGTTCGATTCCAGCCAAGGGCATGGGCCTCAGCTGCAGTTCTTCCCTGGCCCTGGTCGGGTTGTGCGGGAGGCAACCAGTCGATGTAGCTCTATCATGTCGATGTTTCTCTCTGTCCCTCTCTCTCTCCCACTCTATCTGATGATAAGGATTAAAAAAAAAACAAACTTAATAATCGTGGATCAAGTAGATTAATTCTAATCTATGTTTTTCATCTCAAAAGTATGTGATTCATCATTAGTAGAAAAAAGTGTGCACATCTGGACAAGTATGTGTGGGTTTCGTAAGCATCACATTCATACCACCATCCAGTCTGACCACGGCAAAAACAATCCCAGCAAACAGCCAGGCTTAGGGAATGGGCGCATAATTCACTAATTCATGAATTGTTGTCATTGTTTTTATCTGGTGTGAACTTGATCTTATATTACCTGTGAATACAATTTCACCAAAGTCTGATCCCAGGGATCTTATTGTTTATGTAGAAAAATATAAAAACCAAACTGAAATGTTTCCAGAAAATATTTCAAAATAAAGTGTTTCATATTCTTATTTATCCGTTATAGTTAAATGTAATAAAGCACAGATCCATTTTAATGTCAATAGTGCTCTGGCCGGTTTGGCTCAGCAGTTAGAGCATCAGCCCACGGACCAGAGTCCTGGGTTTGATTCCCACTAAGGGCACGTACCTCGGTTGCAGTTTGTCCCCCGCCCCGGTGGGGTCTTGTGGGTGGCAGCCACTTGATGTATCTCTCTCACATCGATGTTTCTCTCTCTTTCTTCCTCCCTCTCTCTCTGCTCTATCTGAAGATAAATGCAAAAAAAAATCCTCGGGTGAGGATAAAAATAAATAAATAATGTCAAAAGCCATTGATTTAAAAACACTTTTCTTCTGTCAGGTTTGCTATGTCTCTGGCAGGTACAGCAGGAACCCACGTAGATGAGCCTTTTCCCAGTGCCGCCTTAGAAAACAGCAGGCTGTCTGCAGGGGCCAGTCTCCCCGGGCACAGCTACGCTTCTGACAAGAGTGTCGATTACAGCCGGTCTCAGTGTTCCTGCAGGAGCTTAAGTTCTTACTATGATTATTCAGAAGACTTCCTCTCCGAATGTTCAGAAACGGCCATTCACAGAAATGATCTAGAGGAGCCTGTTATAAAGCGGGAAAAGGAGGAGAAGAAAATCTGCGTTTCTAAAAGCTCCCAACCTAAAGGTAAGAAACAAAATCTCCCAACCAAGACCAAATGTCTGGCTACAGTGACATCATTATTTAATGCACTCATATCAAGCAGGACCAAATGTCTGTTTACAATGACAACATTACTTAATGCACTAATGTTTGAAGTGGCCCACATTCAGTTTTGTTATTTTTTCATGTTGTAGCCATGTATTCTAAGTGAAGTTCTGTGGAAGGAGTTAGGGCGCAGAGAAGTTAAGAATAAGCACGAAGCGTTGTGCCCCCTTGCTGCCTCTCCCTTGAGAGGGTGGACTCGATGCAGCAGCCCAGGGCTGTACTTTGTGCAGAACTGGAAGACTTGAAATTTAGTCTGCTTTCACAGAGAACTTCTTTTAAAATTTACTTTGTATTCAGAAGAAGCAGCCAGCTAAAAATGATCATATCCTCAATATGAAAAAAAAAAGAATAATTACAAAATAACTGAAAGTGAGGTTTAAAACATAACCCCCAGCCCTCTTGCATGCTTACCCTACTGGAGCAACTAGTGAGGTTGGTCCCCTTTCTAGTTGACAGGTGGTCTTATTACAGAGTACCACAATACTTGGATTTCAGTGGCTTCTTGCCTTACATCTCAGCTGAAGAATTATGGTTTGAATCACCCATGAAATATAAATTCCTGTCTCAACCCAAGAAGATGGTCTCCAAGTCCGGTGAGGCATATTGGCAAAGATAATCTTTTGAAACAGAGATGGCAAAAGGTTGTTGATAATGTCATTTCCTGGTGGATTTTAGAAGTACCAACACCTTCAACTCCTAACTGTCCAGGTTGGAATTAGCCTTGTGAGAGCCTTCATCTCCTCACTCCCTGCCTCCCTGCCCAGACCGCACTCACTTCCTCCCATGTTAGCAGCCCTGGGTGATGTTCCTTATGTTACAAATGGCGGGGACTCTTCTCTACTGTAACTGTTGCCATCAGTCAACAGCTGGAAAATAACTAAGGGCCTGTGTGTGTGAGGCACACCCAACTGTCACATCTACCTAGTATCTGTCACCCCAGCCTGACTAGGACCCTCTGTGCCACTTCTGGGTCATCGGGAAGCTTCAGTCCCCTTCTTCCTAGTTAGAGAGGAATTCTTCATCTAAGACCCATGCCTGTGAACCCCATGCAATTCTATGCATTGTTTCTATTTTCATCTGTGAACTCTTCTAGGGAGAAGAGCCCTTAGCTTTCAGCACATTCTCAAAAGGTTAGAAGCCCCTTTTCTAGAAGGTGGGAGCCCCACACCCACTGGCAAGGCTCAGGACAGAACATGGAAAGCCCAGCACCTTCTCTCATAGTGGGGCCCTGGCTTTTAGAAGCGGTCTCACAACATGCATCGCGGTGAGCTTCTACAGTTACACAGTTCCTTAACTGCATTTGAAACTTATGAAGCTCCGAAGACCAAACATTTTTCATATCTTTGGCACAAAACCTGATTTGGCAACAAAACCCTGATTTGAACTGAGATGATACTGATCTTTATTTCATTTAGTGTGAATAGTCATATCTATTTCACTATAAAAATATTCTTTGATTAAAATGTGCTGCCCCCAATCCTACTGGGATGGAAGCACCCTGGAAAATACCATACATGTGCCCTGGCTGGTGTGGCTGAGTTGGTTGAGCGTCATCCCGTGCACCGAAAGGTCACAGGTTCAATTCCTAGGACATATGCCCGGGTAGCAGGCTCGATCCCTGTAGGGGGCGTACTGGAGGCAGCTGGTGGATGTTTCTCTCTCATCGTCAATGTTTCTCTCCCTCTCCCCCTCTTTTTCTGCATTCAATACAAACGTCTTTTTTAAAAAGAAAGAAAACACCATACATGCATCTTAAAAAATAAAACTCCCAAATTCAGAAACAGCGTGGCCCCAAGGTTAGACGACAAGGGATCATGGATCTATGTACTGCATTTCATACTCAGTCTACACTTTTGTGGGCCTGCGAGAAGGCGGTTAGCATTAGTAAAACTTTCTACGAGAAACAAACTGCATTTTCAGTTATAATCACCTTACGATTTAACTTTGAAGACTGATTCCTCATTTATTTGTTCCAAAGATATTTATTGTGTGTTTTATGCAAGATACCTGTTCAGAAGTTGGGAGAAAGCTCAATTAATTCAGTCACCTGGCGGTGCCCTCAAAGCCGAGAGGGTACTCTTTGTTGTATGAACACTCTGAAATTATTTTAAATAATGCGTGCATCTTTAACTCAAATTATATGCCCTCAAGGTCCCCTATCAGTGCACCACAGACCCCAAACCCTTGTTGTAGCATCAAGCTTAGTCACAGAACGAAGTATTTCCTTGGTTTATTATTTTGTTCTCTTACAGCTCATGTTTTGCAAGCATTTGCCAAAGAAATTTAAGCAGCAAGTAATTAATATAATTCTAACCCAAATCAAAGAGGTTTAATGTTTTAGCCAGCACAGCCCCTTCTCAGTGGGTGTTCAGGGTCAGTTCACCTTTCTCATATGTTGAAAGTAGATGTCTGGCCCTCAGGGTCTGGGAACACTGGGTTAGGAACTGCAGATGGAGACCTGGAATTCACTGAAGAACAGTAACACCAGAGATGGTGTTCAAGATCCAGCTTAGAAAAGCAAATTTTATGGCAGAAAAATATTAGAGAAAAATTGTAAGGATGAAATGAGGGCTTCGATTTGACAGGATGTTTGTTCTGGTCAAGTATTAGAGATTTACCTAAATCAGTGTAAATAATAGCAGCAATATATTTCTACAATTTAATTTTCAAAAATTAGTCATGACTTCTTTTGTAGAAAATGTGTTTTCAGTACTCTTCCAATTATACAGGGTGGAGCAAAAGGTTTACAGTTGTTTGTAGGGAAAATAATAAAATAATAAATAATGATGCAAAAATAAGCTCTGTTTTGCACACTCACGACTGTAAACCTACTTTTGCCCCACCCTGTACAGCCTCCTTTGATGTGTTTTGTGAATGCCAAAGTGTGTGATAGTCAGTCAAAAAAATTAGTGTAGCGAAAAAGAAGTTATTTTACTGCATTGGATTGCGGCGACACCTTTTGCCCATTGTCTGTGGCCGGGTGTAGGCGGGAGACCTAAGTGGTGTTGAAGAGACCCTCGCCAAAGACTAATACTGGGAGCTGTGGAGAACTGAAGGGGACAAGGCCCTTCCTTCGACCCTCCTCCTACCCTGGTCCTTGGCCGAAGTGGGCATCTGTGTCGAGGCGGAGCAGTGTTACCTGGAAGAGAGGGACCCGGGGGAGGGCAGGCCAGTAGGGGTGAGTGGGGCGCGGCTCGGGATGAGGAGCAGAGCCAGACTGAGGGTGCAGAAGGCCTGGGGAATAGAACGAGACACTGAACCCAAAGAGGAAAAGACGGGAGAGGGGCACTAGATGAGACCAGGGAGGACAGGGGAGGAAACAGCGTGGGCCAGGGGTCAATGGCTCTTTAAAAGGAGGGGTTGGGGGAGGAGCCGTATGAAACAGCAAGCTGGAGCGGGCAAGGCAGGACTGTGGGCACGTCCCTGAGCCGTTCAGAAGAGCACATTCTCCAGGAAGTAATGTGAAGAGTTCCTTTTCGGTTAACTGTGGGCCTAAATGTACATGTTTTTGATGAATTAACTTAATTTGAGGGTTTTAACTCAGTGATTTAAAACTTAATTATCATAGGAGTAATTTAATCATTGAGCTAAATCTGCCTCAATTGTGTGAAATGGGATAGAAATGGTAAGTTTTTCCCTTATTATGTGTAGGTTAGGATAACGAGATATAAAATCATTAAGGATTAAACCCTATTTTAATTGTCTACATATTTTATACTTATATAAGTATGCATAATGTATACAATATGAATTTATTCTCTACCACTCAAATGTCAGGCAGTATATTTACCTGAAACAAACTGGCTCCTCCTCTCAGGCCCACCCAGTAGTATAGACAAGAAATGTAATCTCAGGTGTGCTTGGGGAATGGAGGGCGTACGGAGGGCCTTACACAGTCAAGAACATTTGGGGAGGGGCCTCTGATCCTTCATTTTCATCACTTAGGTGTTCCCTGTCCAAGCCCACGTGACCTGTAAAAGGTCGACACGTCTTCTTTTCGGAGCATCCGTACCCTCTGTGCACATCCCCACCCACGGCCTTGGCGCTCCCACAGCTCTGGGGTTAGTCCCCAGGCACCCACTCATTCTGCCTGCCTACCCTCCAGACACTTGAACATGCATGAGACAGGGACACAGCCTCACTGCCCACGTGACCACCATCCCTTACCCTTCTAGTCTCCAGGAACTCCGTCTCCTGTCCAAAGTCACATCACCTAAGACGTCACGTTCGGTCTTACTGGGCATGGCATAGAACGTGACAGCTGCCGCCCCCGCCCTGTTTTAATCCAGCCTGATCCACATGGCCTGGGTCTAGGGCCCCCCTAGCCAGTGCCCAAGCTATACAAGTGGCCTCGACACAACCATGGGCACCTGATCACTGGCCTTCTAGTAGGTGTCACAAAGTCTGGCCTGCTCTGCTTTCCAATTTTCAATGTACTCAAAAGCTGATTCCAGAATACTCAATATTCAACCATAGCCCCTACTCAGGGGCTACCAATGGGAAAGTATGTGCCATTGGAGGCACAGTTGTAAAGACAGTTTATCAGTTATTGATGTGACACAGATACTGTGATGGTGATCAAATCTGTGTGTTCTGTCACAGCCAAGATCCAAATGCTTTATCCCCAGAAAGCACCCTCTGTTTCTTTTGGCTCACTGTTTCTTTCTTTAATTAAAAAAAGTTTTTTTTTCTTTATTGATTCGAGAAAGAGAGGAAGGGAGAGGGAGAGAGAGAGAGAGAGAGAGAAACATCGATGAGAGAGAACATTGATTGGCCACCTCCTACATGCCCCCCACTGGGGATAGGGCCCACAACGTGAGAATCGAACTGGCGACCTCTTGGTGCATGGGTCAATGCTCAACCACTGAGCCACACCGGCTGGGCTGGCTCATTGTTTCCATCGCAGGCAGAATCACCTTTCATGCCGACCATACTAAGCCATGTCTCAGAGGATGAGTCCACACTTGGCCAAAGAGCCTATGGTTAGGGCTCCAGTGACCTTGGCCATGATGTTCCCTTCTCTTTCCAGGATGAGGACCAGATATTTTAGATTCTAGAATCCAGATTTAATCTCTCTCTCTCTCTCTCTCTCTCTCTCTCTCTCAGAAAGCAGATATACTAATATTTACACATGCACACGCATGTATTTACATACGCAGGTGTACACATATACATACATATGTGTCATACAAAGGGGGTATACATACATTCATACAGACATGGGGCAGTGGCGCAGTCATGCAGACCTGGGTCTGTCTCAGCACTTACTAGCTCTGTGCTCATTGGCAGTGACCTCACTAAGCACCGTCTGTTTACCCTTGGAGTGGGCTGACAATACGGTGATGCCGCACATGCATGTGACATATTCAGCTTCGATAACATAAGCGTGGTGCCTATAAGTTTGTTATAATATTGTTTAGAAACATTTTGTTTGAACACAAGCCCCTAACTTTTTTTTTTTTTATCCTCACCTGAGGACATTTTTGCATTTATCCTCAGATAGAGCGGGAGGGAGAGAGGGTGGGAGAGAAAGAGAGAAACATCAATGTGAGAGAGACACATTGAGTGGTTGCCACCCACACAACCCCAACCGGGGTGGGGACCAACTGCAACCAAGGTACATGCCCTTAGCGGGAACCGAACCCAGGACTCTCTGGTCTGCGGGCCGACGCTCTAACCGTTGAACCAAATCATCCAGGGCAGCCCCTAACTTCTTTATTTAGTGCCCAGCCAAAGTAATGGAGGGAAAATGCTCTTTGTTGGATTTATTGAGAAACAGAATATCTATCTATATTCTCTAAGCAGTGTGATGACTTTTAAAGGGTCTTTTTGAATATATGAGATCTTCATCCATAATGTTGGGCTCCAATATTACATTCTAATTACCTCAAAACATATTGTTAGAAGGGTTACATCAGATCATCTATGTCAAGCAAGTAGTTTAATATCTGACATATGGTAAGCACGTAGTAAATGTTACCTGTTATCATGAATTCTAGTTTAGTTTTATAAAAGAAATATGTACAGATTTTAGAGTCGAAGAAGACGTGGCTTTCATTCCACCATCACTCTGTAGTTATGTAACCTTGGACCAACGACTTAAAATGTCTAGCTGTAGAATAGACTGCTGCTGAGCTTAAAGCATTGCATCACACAAGGCATCTGTATATAAAGTGCTCAGCCTCAGCATGGATATGCGTCAGTGTTTGCTCTTTTCCCTTCTGGCTGTCATGAATATGTGCATCTGAGCAGGAGACGAGGTATACTTACATTCATGTTTGCTAACTGCCTATCTCTATGTATTATTACTAGTAACAAACTGGATTGTCTGCTTAACAGGCCAGAAGGGAATCTCAGTTGAAAAAAAGCCCAACAGGAATGCCTCGTTCTTAAATTCTAAAACCGGCGCGAGGGCGCAGAGAGAGGCGGGGACCCACCGCGTGCTCTCGGCCAGGCTCCACAAGATCAAGGAGCTGAAAAACAAGCTAAGCGACACGCACCGCAAAATGGAAGCCACCGTCATAGAAAACCAGTTTTTGAAGCAACTTCAAATTAGGCACTTGAAAGCTATCGGAAAATATGAGACGTCCCAAAATACTGTGCCTCAGATTATGGTTAAACATCAGAATGAAGTTAAAAACTTAAGGCAGCTCCTTAGGAAATCCAAAGAGAAGGAAAGAACGGCGGCCAGGAAACTCAGAGAGGCGGACCGCGAGTTACTGAAGACCAAGGACGCCCTGCAGGCCCTGCAGGTCCTTTCCGAAGACAAAAGTCTCGCCGAGAGGGAAGAGCTTACTGAAAGACTGGCTATTCTCACCACGAAAATGGAGGCAAATGACAAAAAAATACAGGTCTGTATTTCAGAGGCCTAGAAATGTGACGTCCCAGAACTAAGGCGGGGGTGGGGGGCACGTGCCCACTTGCCCCTGCCTAGTGGGGCATTGCCCCGAGCCTCGCCCACTGGCTGGCACATTCATGCCGTTGTGGGCTGGGGGGCCCGGGAGCGGGGAGAGGGGCGCTTGAAGGCAAGACCCACAGCTCGGGTCGGGAAAAGCCCTAGGAGCAGGCCCTGGGCTGTGTTCTTAGGGAGAACGGCCGTGCTCTTTTAGGGGAGACGTGCTCGTGCAGAGAAGGTTGCCTTGTGCTGCGCTGTGTGCATCCTGCCTTAGAGACCAGCCCTCCCCTTCTAACTATGTTTATGTCTATCGATCTTAGAGAGAGAGGAAGGGAGAGGGAGCGATAGATGTAAACATCAGCGAGAGAGAAACATGGACCGATGGAACCTGAAAGCCAGGCACGTGCCTGACCAGGAATCAGACCAGCGACCTCTGCATGCAGGGTCGACGTGCCACCACTGAGCTCCCGGGCTGGGCTACTGTAACTCCCTGAAGAGGCTGCTGCTGCCCTGGAACCTCACAGAGCTCCCCAGCCCTTCCCGGCCTTCGCCCTGTTTGTCTGGTCACTGCCACATAGACGTCTTTGGTATTTTCGAAGTAGAAAACTTTCCCTGATAATAATCCTGGGAACAGAGCCAGAAGAGGAATGATAATAAGTAAAGAAATTAATGGATTGTTTTCCTTAATGATGCATGGTGTCCAAAGCTTGGGGGTTCCACCGACGGGAGACCTGGGAGAACACCCCGATTACAGTGAGAGTTCTGCCTGTTTCACGTCAGATAGTTGTTGGTCCCTTGAGACATAAACAGATAAATGGAATTAATGTACTGTTTAATTCCTTTATCTATGTTGGCGAGACACAAGTATTTTCTGTGATCTTTAAATAATTACAAAATAGCAATTCATTTCACCCACTTTTTTGTTCTTGTTAATCCTCACCCGAGGATATTTTTTTCCACTGATTTTTTTTTTTAGCGTGGGAGGGAGGGAGGGAGGGTGAGAGAGAGAGAAACATCAACACGAGGGAGACACATGATTGGTTGCCTCCTGCACATGCAGGAATGGAACCTGCAACCCCTTGGTGTGTGGGCTGATGCTCTAACTACTGAGCGACACCAGCCAGGGCATTTCACCCACTTTTTTAATCTCAGTTATTTATTCTTTAGTAAACTCCTCCTCTATTTTCAAAGAGAATTTTCTCACCTAAAATGGATATGTGAACTACAGAAAATAATGAACAATCTCATTCTCACTGATGAAGGAGGATACCAAAATTCTCTTATGTGGCTTAGTAGGTAACACTGGGTCCATCTTACCATGTGTCTGTCATGTAAAAGTAAATGTATTTTTATCTCATCTACATATTTTTACATATACATGTTTTTATATCGATAAACAACAAGAATTCAAGAAGTAATTGAGTATTTTATTATCAGAAGCACTTGGTTGTGTGGGAAATTCTATTTGGTTGTAGGGAATTGTGGGGGGGGATGTTTGTGGGCTGTTTTTTATTTTTATTTTTATTTTTATTTTATTTTATTATTATTTTTTTTTATCCTCACCCGAGGACATTTTTTTTTTGTTCAGGTAGAGTGGGAGGGAGAGAGAGGAAAAGAGAAAGAGGGAGAGAGAGAAACATCGATGTGAAAGGGACACATCGAGTGGCTGCCACCCGCACAACCAACCAGGGCCGGGGACAAACTGCAACCGAGGTACATGCCCTTAGCGGGAACCGAACCCGGGTCTCTCGGGACCGCAGGCTGATGCTCTAACCGCTGAGCCAAACCGGCCAGGGCTGTGGGCTGTTTTTTAATGTTAATGTTTTAGGGAGTGGGGTTTTCAGTTACTGTTTCATCCTTTTAGCTTACCATGTTCCCACTTTCCTGTAATGAGAAGTATTAACATTTCAATGGAGGAAATCATCCTTCACCAAAAAAAGAAGGGAGAAGAAAAGGCCTTTGGCTAAGCCTCTGTCAAAGACCAGCCCAAACAGTTCTCCAGTGAAACAGTTGTCATTGCAGAGGGGACCGTGCACCAGCGAGCCCTGAGCGGAGCTGGTGAGGGTGCTACACCAGTCGCCCCGCTGTCTGGGGGCTCTGGGCACCCCCACTGTACCTTCCAGCCCGTTATCAGAACTGCAGTCCACTGTGGTCTGACTAATGCTGGACAACCCTTTGGAATGAGAGGCTTGAAAGATATTTAAAGAATACAGCAGGTCCTCGGAGAACGTTTCATTCAACATCGCTTCATTATAACATTAATGAGGAAAAGACACTGATTCCTGCCCAGGGCCACTGTCCCTAAGGAGTCTGCATTTTCTCCCGGGGGCTGTGTGGGTTTTCTCTGAGGACTCTGGTTTCCTCCCACATCCCAAAGATGCACATGAGGGGAATCAGTGTGTCCACCTTGTCCTGGTGAGAGTGGGTGTGCATGTGAGTGTGAGTGTGCCTGCACCGGAAGTGTGGGCGTCCTGTCCAGGGTGGGCCCCGCCTGGCACCCTGAACTTCCAGGAGAGGCCCCGGCCACCCACGACGCTGAACTGGAATCAGCGGGTTGGAAAGAATTGTTTTGTTTTTATTCATCTTTCTTAAACGTATGTACAGTTCACCTTTATTTCAGTGTTTAATATTAGAATGTTAAGTCTTCATTTAGAGGTTTGGTGATGATTTTATGAGCATGAATATGCCATAGGAACTTAACTCTAACTTACAGCAATTGGTTTTGTTATATAGTGTTCCCTTAAAGCAGCGGTTCTCAACTCGTGGGTCGCGACCCCTTTGGGGGTCGAATGACCCTTTCACGGGGTCACCTAAGACATAACAGTAGCAAAATTACAGTTATGAAGTAGCAACAAAAATAATTTTATGTTTGGGGGTCTCCACGACATGAGGAACTGTACTAAAGAGTCGTAGCTTTAGGAAGGTTGAGAACCACTGAAGTCACAGTTTCCAAGAACCTATTGACCACGATAGGTGAGGACTACTGTACACAGGCCAAGTTCGCAGAATACGTTAGACCAGCAGAACCGCTTAGGTTTGGAGTGACAGTGATTATATTCATTGACTTTCAGAACCCGTTCAAAAACATTTGTATCAAATTCCAGAATATAGAAAACATTAGCTTCGAAACATGCTATTTATTCTCTGGAGTCGTGATCCGGGATTTTGGCTCTTTGTGGGTATGTTCAGTTCTACTGTATGTCCACTATACAAGCCATCACTAAAACTGTATTAAAGATATGCACTTCTCATAAATATAGTTAGTTCCATTGAAGTTGACATTTTTAATAAAACCGTGCTGGTTAAGAATAGTTGAAACATACACTGTTTTCAGAGCTTGGAGAAGCAACTGAGGTTGAATAGTAAAGCCTTCCACCGGCAGCTGGCCGTCGAGAACCAGAAGACCTTAGCTGCCCTAACAGCTAAACAGACTCTGCAAACGGAAGTCAAACACCTTCAGCAAAAACTTAAGGTACTTCTTTTAAAGCAAAATGTAACATTTGTGAAATTCTGCTTCCCAAATTGTCAGAGCTGTTTATGCCTATTATATCATTAAATTACTTAACTTCAGGAATATATTTCTCAAATTAACTTTTTTCCCTGCAACCATATGAACAGATAGATGACCTAAAATTATTAAGATATGTTAGCAGCCTTGTGAACGCGTACTTAATTGGAAAAAATAAAGCTCTATTCTGTTCATTGATAGGACTTCTTATTTTTATTTCATCACATGAAACAATATTATTGTATTTTGTTAATATTTTAGTGGAACCCAAAGTAAGTTTTTAAATTTAAAAATTAACTTATAGTGTTAAAATATTTAGACTAATTTTAGTGGCCTATACAATTATTTTAAAGCCACACTATCTTTTAAAGAGTGTTTAAAATGAAAATTAAAAATATATTTTTCAGATTTTTGATATGTTTCTGCCTTCTAGATTTCTAAAATGTCCAACTAGCCCTGGCTGGTGTTTCTCAGTGGTCAGATTGTTGGCCCTCGGACTGAAGGGTCGTGGGTTCAATTCCAGGTCAGGGGCATATACCTGATAAGTGAGGTTCAACCCCCAGCCTGGTTGGTGCACTTGCGGGAGGTAACCAATCAATGTGTCTCTCTCACATCTATGTTTCTCTTTCTCTCTACCTCCCTCCCTCCCTTCCACTCTCTCTAAAAAATCAGTGGAAAAAATATCCTTGGGTGAGGATTAGCATAAATAAATAAATAAATAAATAAATATCCAACAAGTTGGAAAAGCTGGATAAGACACTTAAGAAATATCGCTCTTTCAAGCCTCCACTGGTAAGTCTAAGCGCGATTCTTTAAGACAAGAAGTCTGTTGTGTCAAGTGGAGACTTCCAGTTTCCCAGGAGCCCGGAGGCGCTCAGAGGCGGGGAGAGTCTGAGGGCGGACGCTGGCCGTGCGCTCTCCCATGTCTCCCATGTCTCCCTTTTAGCGCAGGGAGAGTTGGTTTCTTCTCTGGAGTCTCGGGCAACTTGAGAGAGAAGATGCCAGAAAAGGGGCATGACCATAGCAACCAGCATGGAAATCTAACAGAAAAAACCTTTAAGATCCACTGGTCAAGGCAAACACACACACACACACACACACACAGGAGACACAATCAGGGAATTTTTCAATAAAGTTTGTATTTCACGTGTAGCCACATGCATGCATATAAATAGTATGTAGTCATTGAAAGACTATTTTGACAGGAGAAATATTTAATGAAAAGAAAGATATAAAATGCTACATACAGTAAGATCCAGATTTATTTTTAAAAAGAAGAGTAAATAAACCTCCATATGATGTATTTCTGTGCATCTGTAAAAGAAATGACTCCATGCAGTAATAGGGAATAATCTCCAGGCCATACCGGTGAGTAAAAAAGGAAGGCAGAGGAAAGTGTGCAGTATGCTGCTATTTAGGAAAAGGCGCCCTGGCTGGTTTTGCCCAGCGGTTAGAGCGTCGGCCCACAGACCAATGAGTCGCGGGTTTGATTCCAGTCAAGGGCACGTCCCTCAGTGGCAGTTTGTCCCTGGTCCTGGTTGGGTCATGCGGGAGGCAACCAGTTGATGTGGCAGCCACATCGATGTTTCTCTCTCTCTCCCTAACTCCCACTCTATCTGATGCTAAACAGAAAAGTATCCTCAGGTAAGGAATAAAAAAAGAAAGAAAGAAAAGCAGGCAAGACAAACATATCCACACATGCTTACGTTTTTAAAAGAAAAACAATAGTAGGGCGACAGTGGGAGTAGGAAGAGAATGATAGAGGAGAAGGACAGATATAGAACCTAGATTTCTTGAATATCTTTCTGGTAGATTTGACTTTGGAACCTTGTAAATATTTTGCATAGTTGTGAAGAAGAATTAAGTGCAAAAAAAATTGAGAAGCATTCCCTAAAAATCCAAAGAACAATGAAAAACGTAAGCCCACTGTTTTTCCAGTGGTGATATAATATCACAAAGAGACACCATTCCAAGTGACTCAAAACACTTTAATTTTAGTGCATATGCCTAGATGAATGGGTAAATAAAATGTGATACACATATTTAAATATATATTTATATATATATATAGGGTGTCTCAAAAAATGTATACACAACTTTAATAATAAAGCCAGTGTTTATTAAAATACATTTCATTTTCAAAATGTAATAGAATCTACAGACACCCTATATACATTTTATATATACACATCATATATATATATATATATATATATATATTATTAGAATTTAGTCAGCCTTGAAAAGGGAGGACGTTCCGACACAGGCTACAGCGTGGATGAACCTTGACGTCATGAGGTAAGCTGTCACGAAGAAACAGACCCTGTGTGCCTCTGCCTGTGTGACACGCCCAGAGCAGTCAGCTTCATAGCGACAGAAAGGAGAATGGTGGCTGTCGGGCTGGGGAGAAGGAAGTGAGGAGTTTAATGAGGATAGAGTTTCAGTTTTACGAGATGAGTTATGGGAATGGATGGGGGAAACTTCTTTGTTTTTTCAATTTTTTTTTTTCTTTATTGATTTGAGAGAGGAAGGGAGAGGGAAAGAGAGATAGAAACATGGATGAGAGAGAACATCGATTGTCCGCCTCCTACACGCCCCCCACTGGGGGTCAGGCCCACAACTTGGGCCTGTGCCCTGACTGGGAATCGAACCGGTGACCTCTTGGTGCATGGGTCAGTGTTCAACCACTTAGCAACACGAGCTGGGCTGGAAACTTGTTTTAAAGTGACCCAACACCCAGTCTAGGCCCTGCTCCATTTCTAGAGTATGGGCCAAAGTGAGGGATGGATGTGAGCCTTCCACAGCTCCCAAGGAGGTCCCGCACCCCTGCTCCACGCAGGCTACAAGCTTACCCCTGCCAAAGAAGTAGTGTCTAGCAGGACGTTGTTCCCTCTCCAGTTCTTGGAAGCCATGTATGCTGACCTTGTATGGTTCCACACCATGACTCAGCTTCCCCTTTGATTCTCACCTGATACCCTTTGAGCTTATGAGTCTCCTTTCTTATGAATAGTCCCCAAGCATTCCATGAGCATCCTAGGTATGGACTTTCTTTCTCATTGTTTTTCTTGATTAACTGATTGAACTCAACCACACAAGTACCCTGGACTGTGTTCTGAATCTGTTGTCTTCGTTTCTGGGCCCAGCTGTGTGGCGAGTACCCAGACTTAAATGTTTGTTCCGAGCACGAAGGACTGTCTTTCATGTTACTTCCTTTTGACCGTGGCCATCTTGCACCTGTCAGTCAGCGGTTCTTGGCCTGCCTGTTGCTGCTCTGTTGCCTCAAACCAAAAGATGTAACTGAATCTTCCAGATAATCAAAAACTTGCCCCCCTACACATCACAATCCTTTCTGTCTCTTCCAGGCGCCATCCCTAGGCCCTTTTCTCCTGAGCTTCCCTCTCTAACCAGACGTGGGAGTCACCCTCAACTCACAGGCCCACCTCCCGTGGACTGTGACGCTGACTGAATCTCAGTGGTCTTGAGTCTAACTGGCTTGCCTCTTTTTTTTTTTTTTTTTTTTTAATTTTTATTGATTGGTTGATTTTAAAGAAAGAGAGAGGGAGGGAGAGAAACATCAATCTTCTTGTTCCACTTATTTATGCACTCGTTGGTTGATCTTGTATGTGACCTGACCGGGGATCAAACCCACAACCTTGACACCTTGGGACAATGCTCCAACCAACTGAACTACCCGGCCAGTGCAGGCTTGCCTCTTGATGTATGTGTAAGAAGGAGTATTTGTCATTTAGTTAAATATTTTGTGTCCCCTTAACAACCCAGGATTTAAAACCTTTTGTTTTGCTGAGACTTTAAAAAGAACATCGGGATTTAAAGCCGGACAGTGATGTCTGTGTGCGGGCTTCCCCCACAGCGCACGTGCTGTGTAGATGCAGCCCTGTCTAGGACACTCCGTGACGACGGACGTGTTCTGTCTGCGTCCAGGACTGTGGCCTGCGCCACATGTAGCCACTGAGGGCTCAGAATGTGGGCAGTGTGACTGAGGCCTGAATTTGTTATTTCATTTTAATTAGTTAATTTTCTCAATTACAATTTACTTTCAGTATTATTTTGTGTTGGTTTCAGGTGTACAGCATAGTGGTTAGATAATCATACACTTCACCAAGTGTCCCCCTGATATTTCCAGTACCCACCTGCACCGTACAGCTATTACACTATCATTGACTACATTCTCTATGCTGCACTTTACATCCCTGTACTGTTTTCTAACCACCAATTTGTACCTCTTAATCCCTTCTCCTTTAAACCCAGCCCCCTAGGCCCCCTCCCCTCTGGCAACCACCAATCTGTTCTCTGTATCGATGAGTCCGTTCCCATTTTTTGTTTGTTTTTAAATCCTCACCTGAGGACCCTTTTCTATTTATCTTCAGATAGAGCGAGAGGGAGAAAAAGGGAGAGAGAGAGAAATATCGACGTAAGAGGGACACATCGACTGGTCGCCTCCTGCACGGGGACAAACCGCAACCGAGGTACGTGCCCTTGACCAGAATCGAACCCACAACTCATTGGTCCGCAGGCTGATGCTCTACCGCTGAGCCAAACCAGCCAGGGCTGTTTCTATTTTGTTTATTCATTTATTTTGTTCTTTACCGTTCACGTATAAGAGAAATTATATGGTATGTGTCTCTCTAACTGGCTTATTTCATTGAGCCTACATAGTACTCTCTAGGTCAATCCATGCTGTTGTAAATGCTAAGATTTCATACCTTTCTATGTCTTTTAATAAGTTTAAATCACAACATGACTAGTGGCCACTATATTGTACCATGCAAAAATAATACTAAATGTCAGGAGACAGGAAAAAATAAAAGAAGCTGGCTTGGAAACTTTTCAAAAATATTGTCCTAATCACAATAGTTTGATACTCTGTTAAAAAGTACTTTTTAATGTCAGAAATGATGTATAATAATAGGACCTATTTTTATTTCTGCTAGAATTATAGATTTTATTCAAAGAATACTGAACTCTCACGAAAGTTGTTTTTTAGAAAAAATCAGTTTTTAGGAAAAGCAAATATTCATAGAAAAACTGGTTTTATGATTCTCTTTAGGAGAAAGAGCGAGAGCTTGACATTAAAAACATCTACACTAATCGGATACTGAAAAATTTGTATGACAAAGATGATCCCAAAGGTATGTTTTATTTTTCCTCTAAACCTATTCTTAAGTAGCTAGTCAGATTTTCCTAACTTATATTTCCAAAATAATGGTATTTTAAAAAATCGTTTTATTAGGCGTTGAAACGCAGTTTGTGATCCCAGCAGGATAATGAAACTGCTGTGTTACAACGTGGAAAAGAACAAGCGTGCTCCTGCCCTCCGCCTCCGCCTCCGGCTCAGCCTCCGCGCTCACTGCAGGGCGGCGAGGGGAGAACCTCTCAGCTTCCAGCCAGGTGGCCCTCAAATGCCGAGTCTTTTAAGAATATCTATTAGCCAGGATGTGGATTTTAAAATCAACTTTATTTAGGTACAGTTTACCTCACTAAAATGCACCCTTTTTAAGTGTGCAACTCAATGGGTTTTTGTGTTGTTGTTTTTAATCCTCATCCAAGGATATTTTTTCATTGATTCCACGAAGAGAGAAAGGCAGAGAGAGAGAGAAAGAAATGTGGATGTAAGAGAGAAACACCGATCAGTTAGTTGCCTCCAACAAGTGCCCCAACCAGGGATCGAACCTGAAATCTGGGTAAGTGCCCTGACCAGGAATCGAACCTAGACCCTTCAGGGCATGGGACAACGCTCTAACCAACTGAGACATACCAACCAGGGCTCAATGGTTTTTGGTTTTGTTTTATTAATATATTTTTTTTTTTTTTTTAGAGAGAGGAAGGGAAGAAAGATAGAAACATCCATGTGAGAGAGAAACATCCATCGGCTGCCTCCCACATGCCCCCTACTGGGGATCAAGCCTGCAACCCAGCTATGGGCCCTGATGGGGAATCGAACTGGGGACCTCTCAGTCCATGGGATGATGCTCAATCCAGAGCCACACCGGCTGGGCTTCAGTGGGTTCTGACAAAGACACACTTATTCCCACGTAACCACCATCGCGGTCAAGACAGAGCACCCCTCTCCTAGGGAAGTCCCCTGTGCCCACTTTGCAGGAGGTGGTCCCCCACCCCTGGCCGGAGGCGACCCGAGTCCCTTCTGACACAACAGCGCAGTGTGCCTGTTCTCGGACTTCAGATAAATAGAATCATAAATGGCTACTCTTTTGTGTCTGGCTTCCTTTGTCCAGCATAATGTTTTTGAGACTCATCCATGTTGCTGCTGTCATTAGTTTGTACCTTTTTATTCCCAGGTAGAATTTTTTTCCTTCAAGACAAGATGTACTTACTTTCCACCCACAAGAGCTACCAGTGTAACATTCTGCTTAGAAGAGGTAAAACAGGAACACTCACCCTGTTTTAGTAGAAGTAACTATGTGTTTACTTTTTTTTTTTTACTTTATTGATTTTAGGGAGAGGAAAGGTAGAAACAACGATAGGAGAAAACATCGATTGGCCGCCACCTGCATGCCCCCCACTGGGGATCGGGCCCACAACCTGGGCACTTGCCCTGACTGGGAATCAAACCAGCGACCTCTTGGTGCAGGGTCAATGCTCAGCCACTGAGCCACACCGGCCAGGCTTATGTGTTTTACTTTTAAAGGCAACAACCAAAATTTCCTTGCCTTCCTTTGTTTGCCTCTGGATTGTAATCCAGAAGAACAGCCAGCAGAGATCATGATAAAAATCAACCATGGGGTCATTTAAATGGGATGATACTTCAGAGAAAGGGTGGTCAAGATTTCGTGGTCACTCACCTTAGCCTGGGCCATCTAGCAGCAGGAGCTGGGACACCGACAGTGGTACTCGCTCTCACAACTGCGCGTCCAAGTTCTGAATCTCATCTGCAAGCAGGGACAGCCATGTCCTCGAAAGCTACGCAGACCCAGCCTAGCGCCTGCTTGCTTTGGCCTTGACCACTGGGACGCCCTTAACCTTGTGGCCCAAATAAGACAAAAGTGAATGGTAGGGAAAGATGACGGTGGCAGACGTTATGCATATATGGAAAAGCTTTAGAAAATATCTGTTGTCCTTTGTTGTATTGTATTGCAAAATGCCCGTTACTTTATACTTATAATCAATAATGCTTCCAAATGTCAGATATGTTTCTTATATATAATGTACCTGTTCTGTAGCTTCTTCAACAAAATCAGTACAAGCAGACGGGAAAAGTATTTCACTTATATGTATGAGACACCAGGAAACCCAAAAATCGGAAGACATTCCACCTTTGACGATTAAGGTAAATTTGAAATCTTGCAACATCTAATAAACATATCTGTACTAAAACAGGCTACAGTCACTTGATCTATACAAAAGTACTGGTATTCACTGAATTCAATACAATTTAAAATTGTACCCAAGGATGAGTTTTTGCTGCTTTTCTGAATTATAGGGTAAGAAGACAGCAGGAAACACCTGTCATAAAGAAAAATCCGCTGAAACGGTCCGTGTAATTCCTCACTCTGTCAGTGAGCTACCAAGCCGAGAGGACTCCAAGAGAAAATATGAAGGTAATTTAACAACTTTTAAGTCTTATTTATTCTTATTTGATTTTTGTAAGTCTGTGTATAAAATGGTACATAAAAGACATATATACTGTTCAAAGAATTATTCTAAAATGTACACTGTGTAGCCACTAGCCCTAAGAAATAGAACATTAGTGTCCCTTAGACCACACTGTGGGCCCTCCCTAAGCACATCCCCCTCCGGCCCACCAGAAACAGCCCCAGTTTTACAACTGGCCGGTTGTTCATTTCCTTGCTTTGCCTTGCAATTCCCTATCCTTGTATGTACCCGTAAACGATGTGTTCGGTTTTAACAAACTGAGTGGCAAACCAAACCCAGCCGACTGAGGGCAGCGTGGCCACTAATGAAGGACCACCTGACGACTTGCAGAGAGCGCAGCGGACGGGACGCTGGCTCCGCTTCCCTGAACGCACAGGGGCCCAGCCAGGGCAAGGCCCTGCATCGTCCTGGCGCAGAGAACCCGACAGCACACGGCATCGGGCAGGGCTGCTGTGCAGGTCTGGGAAAGGGAGGTTCGGGCAGAATGGGCTGCTCGGAGTTTCCTCCAAGACCCCCAGAGCTCACCTCCAGCTCTGGGGAGTAGGTCAGAGCAGAATGCTTCTGTGGGGTGAAATGAGAGCCCTCGGCCGACCCAGGCTGCAGCACCAACATCTCCATCAGTCCATGGTCGAGACAGGCCAAGGACCGGCTCACCTACATTCGCTGTCAGAGAGGTACAGGGGAGCAGAGGTCTTGGTGATGCCAGCCATTAATGCTGACGCTTCTTTGCATCTGGGCTGGGGCCCTCTACCTGTCATCCTGGGGTTCCCTTCACCAGGGGGACCAGATCCACGTCCTCTGGCTGCTGTGAAGGAAGGGCAGGGGCAGGAAGGCCAAGCCGGAGCCCAGTGCCATAACCCAGGCAAGAGACGAAGGTGGCTCGGTCTGGGGTTGGGAGCAGTTGAGGTGGAAAATAAGCAATGTCACCTGTTAACAAATTTTAACATTTGCATTAAGTATCATAGGGCATAATATTAACAGTTATTTAGAATTACCTATACACGTTGCTGGCATCTTTGCTCACCACTCATTCTTTTTTTTTTCCTCTATTGATGTTAGAGAGAGAGGAAGTGAGAGGGAGAGAGAGAGAAACATTGATGAGAGAGAACATTGACTGGCCACCTCCTGTACGCCCCCCAATGGGGATCTGGCCCACAACCTGGGCACATGCCTGACAGGGAATCGAACTGGAGACCTCGTGGTGCATGGGTCGACGCTCAGCCCGTGAGCCACGCTGGCGGGCTCACCACTACTTCCTTTTTTATGGAACGCTTCAGGAATTTGTGTGTCAGCCTCGCACAGGGGCCGTGCTGACCGTCTCTGGACTGTTCCCGTTTTAGTACTTGTGCTGCCGGAGTGAGCACTCACCATTAATTCTTGAAACACACTTCTCTTACTAGAATTCCTTTTTTATTTTTTTGGAGTATAAATTAATAGTTTTATTTCAGAATGTGTGAAATGTGAGAAGTTTTCCGGCTCTGCACGTCCAGCACTAGTCCCTCTCCCTCCCCAGTGACGGGCCATTCGGATTCGCGGACGCTGCCTGTCTGATCAGCGCGGGAGTCGTGCGGGGTTGTGCGTGGACACGGCGTGTCCGCCTGCAGCAGGCCTTTCTCAGGAAGGAGGGCTAGCGCAGGGCTTGCCGCCGGCCCAGCAGGGCAGGGTGGCCTCCTCACTGGGCTCTCACTAACACTGGCACCTGTCTCTGGCAGGGCCTGTGCGTCCGTCGTTCCTTCTCTCAGATGCCTGGGGTCCACAGGCCCCACGGGGCACCATTTATTCCGCCAGAACCCCTCTGACGGACACTTGGGACATTTCACTGTTACTTAACCAGCTCAGTAACACCCTTATATCGTGTATGAATCGTGTATTTTGCCAGGTTTAGTCCTAGAAGTGACGTTGCTGAGGCTAAGGATACGTTCACCTGAAATCGTGGTCCGTGCTGCCAAACGGCCATCCAGATAGAGCTGCACCAACTGCCACGGCCGCCGGCTGGGGCGCAGGTTCCCCTTCCCCACATCCTCACCAGCTCTGGGGCTGCCCAACCAGGGGGCCGGCGAGGTCCTCATTGTTTTCACGGGCGCTCTGTCCAGCCTGCGGTGTTTGAATATCTAGTAATGACTGTTGGCAAGTGTTAGTTCTTTATGAATATCGCGGTTTGGGTTTCATGCTCCTCATTCAGTTGGCACGTTTCAGGAGAGTGCAACTGTTCATGCCCAACGGCACCTCCCCGTTCTCCTGTGGGTGCTTTGTTTCCTCGCCTTTTCTGACACTGCCTGTGCTTGTCGGTGTGGGTAAGCGAGGCGCACGTGCATGCCACCCTGAAATAAAAGTCCACTGGTTTTAAAGATCGCCAAACTGACTATTTTTCTAACACAGATTTATCCAAGGAAGAGCAACATCTGAAAGCACGAGCAGCTCTGGAGAGTACTGGAAGACAGAGAGAGAAGAAAGCAGGCCAAGAGAAGAAAACCACTGTAGAAAAAGAACAAGAACTACCACCAGTGAGAATCCCAGCCGTTGGCCCCGAGCAGGAAGGCCGGTGGCAAGACGGCGCAGCGGACGAAGAGCGGAAGGAAAGTGCACAGATGAAAGCGGCGGCGGAGGTGCCGGGGGACGTGCCGGACAGAATCGCCGCTCCAAACACCAAAACGCCCCTCAGACGGAGGAAGCATTATTCGTTCACAGAGGCGACTGAGAATCTGCATAATGGGCTTCCAGCTTCGGGGGGGCCGGCCAACGCCGGGGCCTGCAGGTGCGCCCAGGGCGCAGGCAAACAGCACGGCTGTGCCGAGGAACCGAAGCCCGGACACTGGGGGGGCAGGTATGAGCCCTCTTTTGGGAAGTTTTCCAGAACAAAAGCTAAAGATGCAACTTTCAGAGATAAGAAAAGCAGTCTGATGAAGGAACTCTTTGGAACAGGCTATGCCTTCAAAAATGAGCAAGCAGGTACTGCCATTGAAGGGTCTGAGGAGACCTGGAAAAGTAAGATGTGTCAGCCACCCCCTAATCAGGCGTCCGCCAGCAATGCTTTTGGAGATTCTAAAGTAGCTGTGCTGAATTCTATTAAGTCATCTTCACCTACAGAAGGGAAAATAAAAATAATTATTTAAATAGAATTGATATTCTAATTCATTCCAGTCTCATATTCTGGTTCTTTTGTGCCTTTAATTTTGTAATCTGTGTGTGTCCAGTTTATGAATTGACTTTATATAATTACGGTTTTGTTTTATATGAGAGAGAGAACAATGACTGGCCGCCTCCTGCATGCTCCCACTGTGGGGTTTGGCCGGCAACCTGGGCATGTGCCCTGACCGGGTATCAAACCGGCGACCTCTTGGTGCATGGATCGATGCTCAACCACTGAGCCACACCGGCCGGGCACTAATCTAATTTTTAAAATCCACTGTATGTTAGACAGTGACAACATTTCAAATACCTTTTTTTCAATATCTGAAATGTCCATTATCTTTTGGAAAACTCATTTATTATGGCTTTCATATTGCATGGGACTCTATAGCTCGTAAGTCTGTTCATCAATCCAAGATATACACATCTCGTACATGCAAGAATTTTATCAAATATCAAATTGCATTGTAACTTAAAAACATGAAGCAGCTTTGAAAGGGTACAATATGGTCAGAGGACTTTTATTTAAAAAATAAAAAGCGCTCCCGGCCTGCCCCCCCCCCCGCCCCCAATAAATAAAAAGCAGCGTCCTGGCCAGTTTGGCTTAGCGGTTAGAGTGTCGGCCCGTGGAACAAAGAGTCACAGGTTCGACTCTAGTCAAGGGCACATACCTGGGTTGCAGTTGGGTCCCTGGTCCTGGTCAGGGCCGTGCAAGAGGCAAACAATTGATGTGTCTCTCTCACATCAACGTTTCTCTCCCTCCCTCCCACTCTATCTGAAGATAAAGGGGAAGAAATATCCTTGGGTGAGGATAAAAAAAAAGAAAAGAAAAAGCAGTGTTGTCTTATTCAGCTAAACTGAGCATCTAATATCCTGCCTTTGTGAGTGATATTTCTGAATGTATACCTAAGATTCAGTATTTTTTTAAATATTTGTTGCATACCTGTACCTTGACCTTTTTTTTGTTGTTGTTAATCTTGATCTTTAAAAAAAAAAAAAAAAAAAAATATCAGGCCTGGCCAGTGTGGCTCAGCGGACTGAGTATCATCCCATGAACTGAGAGGTCCCGGTTCCATTCCCTGTCAGGGCACATGCCCGGGTTGCGGGCTTGGTCCCCAGTAGGGGGCATGCAGGAGGCAGCTGATCAAAGTCTCTCACATTGATGTTTCTCTCTCTCTCTAAAAAAATCAATAAAAACATATATTTTAAAAAGCATACTGGGCCCTGGCCTGTTTGGCTCAGCGGTAGAGCATCTACCCATGGACCAATGAGTCCTGGGATCGATTCTAGCCAAGGGCACATACTTCAGTTGCAGTTCGACCCTGGCCCTTGGTCAGGGTTGTGCGGGAGGCAGCCAGTCAATGTGTCCCTCTCACATTGATGTTTCTCTCTCTCCCTTTCTCTCCCTCTCTCTCTACCTGAAGATAAAATAGAAAAATATCCTCAGGTGAGGATTAAAAAAAAAAGCACATTGGTATAATTAGTGTCTGCATAAGTTAGCTGCTCAGTCCTAGTTAATGTATTCTTTACCTATAAAATTTTGTTTTAGGACTATATAAAGAGAGCTGTACTCTCAATGTTAATCAGTTAACTTGCCTTCATTTATTTTTCTTTTTTTAGAGAGAGAGAGAAAGAGGAAGGGAGAGAGAAACATCGATTTATTGTATTTGCTATTTTATGTATTCATTGGTTGCTTCTTGCATGTGCCCAGACCAGGGATTGAGCCCAAAACCTAGGCACATCCAGACAACACTCTAACCAACTGCCAAGGCCTCCTTCATTTTTTTTTTTCCAGTTTCAAAAGGCTTTATTGGTAAATGTGCTTTAGAAAAGAAAGGTCGATCCTATTGCTTCCAAGTTAGTGGAATGAAGAGCTGTGTCCAGGGACACATCCAAGTGAGCCAAAGGGGACTGATGCTTTTTCCACCTCTATTCATAGATCCAGTCAAAAGCACAAGACTTGTAGTCAATCAGTTCTTCAGACTTAAACCATAGGCCGATTTCTTTCTCAGCACTTTTTACTGAATCACTGCCGTTAATGATGTTCCTGCTAACTTGAATGCAATAGTCTCCACGAATGGCGCCTGGCTTAGATTCTGCTGGATTGGTCTCCCCAAGCATCAGTCTCCCTGTCTTCACCACACTCAGTCCCTCCCAGACCCTGGCTACCACAGGCCCTGAGTTCATGTACTTCACCAGCCTGAGGTAGAAGGGCCGGTCTTTCAGGTCAATGTAGTGCTGCTTCAGGAGTCCTCAGAGGCTGGAAGGAACTCCATGGCCAGAGGCGGAACCCCTTCGGCTACAAGCGCTTGATGATGTCGCCCACCAGGCCGTGCTGCACGCCGTCCAGCTTGATGGCGATGAAGGTGCGCTCCGTGTTGGCCATGGTCCAAGAAGCGGGTGGGCGGGAGGCGGCTGCACTGCGGACTCCTTCATTTATTTTTAAGAGCTATTATTTACAATTTAGACCAGAGTGCCCTGGCTGGTTTGGCTCAGTGGTAGAGCGTTGGCCTGTGGTCCAGGGAGGCCCGGGTTCGGTTCCCCCAAAGGGCATGTATCTCGGTTGCAGTTTGTCCCTGGCCCTGGTTGGGTCGTGCAGGTGGCAGCCACTCAATGTGTCCCCTTCACATCGATATTTCTCTCTCTCTCTCCCTCCCCACTCTATCTGAACAAAAAATGGAAAAATGTCCTCGGGTGAGGATAAAAAAATAAAATAAAAAAATAGACCAGAGTATTTCCAAAGATGTTTATGGGTTGGTGTGTAATATTAACACACTTTTTAAAATTGAGAATAGAAAATAAACTTTTAAAAGGGAATGTGAGTCATAATGGGAAAAGAATTGTATTTAAAACCAAAGATGAGCCTGGCCGGTGTGTCTCAGTGGCTGAGCGTCAACCCATGCACCAACGTCACTGGTTCAACTCCTGGTTAGGGCACATGTCCAGGTTGTGGGCCCGATCCTCAGTAGGGAGCATGCAGGAGGCAGCCAATCGATGTTCTCTATCTCTCTCCCTCTCTCTTCCTCTCTAAAAATCAATAAAGAAAAATTATTTAACAACAACAACAAAAAGCCCTGGCTGGTTTGGCTCAGCGGTTAGAGCGTTGGCCTACGGTCCAGAGAGACCCAGGTTCAGTTCCCGCTAAGGGCATGTACCTCGATTGCAGTTTGTCCACGGTACTGGTTGGGTTGTGCAAGAGGCAGCCACTCGATGTGTCCCTTTCACATCGATGTTTCTCTCTCTCTCTCTCTCCCTCCCTCCCTATTTGAACAATAAATGGAAAAATGTCCTCGGGTGAGGATAAAAAAAAAAATAACAATAATAATAATAATAAAAATAAAAAACAAAAACAAAGATGAGCCCAGCAAGTGTGGCTCAGTGGCTGAGCATCAACCCATGCACCAAGGTCGCTGGTTCTATTCCTGATCAGAGCACATTCCCAGGTTGTGGGCCAAATCCCCAGTGGAGGGCATGCAGGAAACAGCCAATTGATGTTCTTTCTCATTGATGTTTCTGTCTCTCTCTGCCTCTCCCTTCCTCTCTCTCTAAAATCAATAAAAAAATATATTTTTAAAAATAATCTTAAAAAAAATAAAATAAAAGTGCGTCTGTAGGAAACTTTAATAAAAATCTAAGCTTATTACTATCTAGTCATCTAAGATTATTTTAAAGATTATATGCATAGAATAATAAAATACTAACTTTCATCTCTGAGAAAGGAGACTATGGCCAATTTTTATTTTCTGTGTATTTTCTACCATGATTTTCTCTGTACCGCAGGCCGACGTTCTAACCGCTGAGCCAAACCGGCCAGGGCCTACCATGATTTTCTATAATGAACATAAGTTTTTAATCAGGAAGGAAAACAATTTAAAAAAAATTTTTTTCCTTCATTGATTTTAGGGAGAGAGGAAGGGAGAGGGAGAGAGGATAGCAACATCAATGAGAGAGAACATCGATTGCCCACCTCCTGCATGCCTCCCACTGGGGATTTGGCCCACAACCTGGGCATGTGCCCTGACCGGGAATCGAACCGGTGACCTCTTGGTGCATGGGTTGACACTCAACCAGTGAGCCACACCGGCTAAGCAGGAAACAATTTTAACTACATTTCCTGTAGTCAGGTAGACAAGGTACTCTGGCACTTCTGCTATAAAAAAAGCCTGAAATTGGATTACCTGGATGGTTGATATAACCTCAAAGTTTAAAGAGCTCTAAGCTGGTAGTATCCCCAGAGCAGTAGAAATGCAAATCCTCTCTGGAAGAACCTATCTTTCACCCAGGCCCCAGGAAATTCCCCCAGAGAGTTAAAAAAAAAAAAGCACAGTCCAAAAAAAGCACAAAATACACAAAAAGAAACAAGGTACTAAGAGAACCAAGAGGAACAACATATCAGGGCCAGATCTACAAAGACTTCACCTATTACAATTATATATGGAAAATACGTGTTTAAAGCCCTGGCTGGTGTGCCCAGTGGTTAGAGCATTGGCCGATGCACCAAAGAATCATGGGTTCAATCGCCAGTCAAGGGCACATACCTGAGTTGCAGGTTCTATATCCGCCCCAGTCAGGGAGTGTGTGTGAGGCAACTGATCAATGATGATTCTCTCTCTCTCCCTCCTCCTTTCCTCCCAATCTCTCTAAAAAAAAAAAAATCAATGGAAAAAATATCCTTGGGTGAGGATTATCTAAAAACAAAAAAAATGTTTAAAGAAATAAAAGTAGTTTTTGAAAATATGAATAAAAACAAGAACTCATTATATGTGACAACTCAGAAGACCTATAATAATGTAAATTAACTCAACAAACAGGCTTAACAGCAGATGAGACAAGAATGAAGGCAGTAAAAGACAGACCTGAAGCACTGATCAGTATCAAAGCACAGAGAGACAAAGAGAAAATAAGCAAGGGAGGCTGGCAGACATGAATAGAGTGAAACAGTTTAACAAAACATCTACTCAGTTTCTGAAGACAAGGGAAGAGA